GGGCTGGGCGATATATCGATATAGAAAAATAAATCGATATAACTTTTTTAAATGTGATATGGAATTAGACCATATCGCGCATATCATCGGATATAGTTCAAATTTGCGCTGTGATCCTTGCTCCAAGCAAGCCTGCTGACCCGGAGCTCTCTGCACTGCTCTTCACCCTCACTTCAATGCACAGGAGGCCGGGAGGGGGCAGGAACAGCACACTCAAACAACATGGAGAAGCAACGTCTGCGGAGGCTGCGGAGGAGGAATGTGTTGGTATAAAAGAAAAGCAGTGGCCTCAGTAAATTTGGAGATTGGTTGGATTCAAAGTTTCAGTAATGGCAACAAAATCAGTGTTAATAGCTGGGGAGTGCCATAAACAATTGCAGCCAGGGGTGGAAGCACTACAAACTCTTTTTCACCACCTAAAACAGTGGCAGAAACTTCAATACGAAGAGAGTGTGAAACTGCGCGCTGGCAAGAGCCCCAGCGCAATGCCATCCACAACCCAAAAAGCTCCAGTCCCGAAACAAAGCTCACTGCAAAGTTCATTTTCCCGCATGTGCCTTATGAAAAGAAATTGACAAGTGGCTGTACTATAACTAAAGTGGTGTCTATTCACATTGCTAAAGATATGGTCCTGTTGCAACTGTGGAACAAGTCGAGATTTAAAAAGCTACTGAAAATCTATTGACCCGAGATTATGAGCCTTCCAGTCGTAACTACTTTGCACCGAGAGCACGTGCCACAATGTACACTGAAGTCAGGCAGAGCCTTGCTGACGCGGCCGTAACGTGACCCATTTTGCGTTGACCAGCGATATGTGGTCGAGCAGGACGTGTGAGCCTTACATGACAGTTCACTTCACTTCAAGTACTGGGAGATGAAAACAGCGTGTCTCCAAACAAGTTATTTCCCCCAGGATCACACCGGTGAGCATATACGCCTGAGGCCCTGCGGATGGAATTGCAAGCTGGAACTCCAAGGAAAGCATTCTGGTTGCTATAACAACGACAAACGGGAAGCAACAATCGTCAAACGGTTGAGAGCTGAACAGTGGCTGAGATGCAGTGCTTCGGTCACAGATACACTTGGCTATTGGTGAGTGCAGTGTTGTGTGGAGTATTCAGATATTTTACTTTAAACAAAACATTAAATCTTAGTATTTTTCTTATTTTCCTTTGTGTGTCTGTCTGCAACTTTGTGTTTTATGCTGCTGTCTTGGCCAGGTCTCCATTGAAAAAACTGTGTTGTAATAGAGGTTAAATAAATTAATTAACACAAAACTTAAAGTACTAAAAGTAAAATCACTTAAATTACATGAATTGGTAATTTCTTTAGAACCTTATTTATATAGGTTAAATTGGATATCAATTAGTGATATGCCTGATATCGTGTTTAGCACGGTTGTGAAGTTCTACAGCTTGTAAAGTAATAAATTTTATTGACTTTAAAATTGCTTTGAGCCTGTTGAAATATCATCAAGGTAACATAGTTTTAGATCTATTATGGATTGAACATGTTCTCTCTTGTCTGGATTGATAAGAGCAAAACTGCAATCGTAAGATAGATATACTCAATGTTGACACGTTGCCGTCGGACATTGTGGTCTTTTTCTTACGCTCGCAGTTCGCTGTAAGTAATTCGTAAGTAAACTGGACACTTGGTTGCCGAG